ATATATATATGTGTGTGTGTGTGTGTGTGTTTGTGTGTAATTGTCCTCTCTGCATGCGAAAATTCCAGTAACCCACTCTAATATGCTTTAACCCCAGACGCTCCGTTTCTCGCCTGACTCTACGACTCTAAGGTCTCCGGATCTACTATTTCTATGCCTTCGACTCTCTCCATTCCGTCGTCTTCTCCTCTTCCCACTTTCTCCGTTGCTTTTCATGTCTGTCAAGTCAGAATGTAATGAAATAATTTTTTTTTCACAGTGTTTAAGTTTGGTTGGGTTCATTTAAAAGAATATGTAGATTTATTTTTTGATTGCCCTACTACCTTCTGTAAATTAAACAATTATTTTATAACAACTGTTAATGACAAATTCGCATTAACAGCTAGAATAAGTATATATTGTTTGTTTCGGAAGTTTTCAAATGCAAAACAGTGCATGATTTATATTTCAAAATGGCAACGCCCATAAACTAGATTGCTGAATGAAACAGTGTCGTGCCAACAATGTTGTTCAGTTTTCCTGTCTTGCTGCTAGAAATTATCACATCGGTTGTGTTAGTGTTGGCTAATAAGGTGAACATGCTATATAAAAATTAGGAAGCAATGATAATTTAGCGGGAAATCATAGCAACAGAGATATGTCGTAGTCTTTGGACCATTTTGATTTGGCTGGAGAGCTGTCGCAACGGTGGTTACTTTAGTCAAATTTTCAAAATGTAGATAATTTAGTCAAATCTTTAAAATGCCCTCTACACCAATAAAACCAGCACAGTTAGATAGCTGTAAACAATTTCTTTCCAACGGTACCTCATTTAGGCTTGTATGTCATTTCTGAGCTGAGATATGTAGGTTTTTGTGGAGATGAGATGTAAAAAAACAACTGACAACTGCTAAAACTTGTCTCCCAGAAACAAGAAGTTTTCTCTGCGCAACCAAACTGCGCACTTTCGTTTTGGCTTTGTTTTCATTGGACAAGATGGCAGACAATTTTTCTCAGACACAGCCACATAATAGCGATTGCCTGAAAAATGTCATTGTAAATCGAACTAGCCACTGATAAGAAAGAAATTTTATTCACAAATGTAAAATTGGACAGAGAATTCAATTATAACTAGCATTACCAGGACGAGTAACAGTTAAAGCCTAAAGCCAACTTTGAATACTTATCGCTATTTTCAATCAAACTGATGAAACAGAAAAACAGAGGACATCCGGCTGTCGTAGACATGCGCTGTTAATCGGGTTTGTTCCCGCCGTTTTCAGCTATTTATAGCTGGTGAAAATCACACCAATCGCAAAATTTCATGAGAGATTAGGACCCATCCCGAAACCAGCGGACATTTCCCAAACAAGTTTCGAACGGTTTCCAGGGTAACGAAATTGCCAAAAAGACCGCAAATTGCCGAACACCGTAGTCGCTAGCAACGGCAATGACAAGAAAGTAAAGTAGAAAGGGCTAATTTGGCTAAACATAAATAAAAATGTGGTCTCCTTCGAACTTCTTTCCCATATTATGGCGGCCAAACAAATACCCTAAAAGGGCCTCAGTCGTGTGTGAAATGCAGACTTCCTCCGACAAATACATCGTGGCAAAACTAGGATTACTGTCACAATTTAAAGTGACAATTTGAAGAAACGCAACAATACACACGATAATAGCGACATGGCGGGGAGACCACGCGCTCCAACGCAGTTTAGCGATAGTGTTCTGATTAAACTCACTGCTGAGCATATCCTCTACGCCACTACGTGCGGTGTGGTTAGGGAGCTAAACTAGATGGCTGAGACTTACAAGCAGCAGCTACCGCATCTCCTGCAACTTCCTCCAATTTATTTGCTCGTGAGTCCCAGCCATATAGTTAAACCCCCCCCCCCCATCCACGCCGCGCGTAGCGGCGCAGGGGATACTGTTGGCGGTGCGGCATAGTCGCAGAAACAGGTCTACAATTAACATATCGCTGAGACCCAATTAGAGTATTTGTTGGCCCTTTATTTGGAGGCAATCCTACTTTTGCCGCAATTTGTTCCCCACATTTTACACATGACTGAGGCCCTGTTAGGGTATTTGTTTGGCCACCATAATATGGGGACAAAGTTCGGAGGAGAGAATAAAATTGAATTAGTTTAAAACTAGAACTCTGAAAGTAAAAGACTAATTTCCTAAATCTAGCTATGTGACTTTGAGTCATACACCGATAATTAAAGAGCAACATATTAAATGTTTAGGCAATCTGAAGCACCTCCTGCCACAGAGAGCCATGTCGAAGAAAATAGTGAACGAACATAAGAGCAAGGGAAAAGCCACACGAAATTGTAACCAGCTTCATCCATAAGGATATGGAGGGCAGTTTACACAACACATTAGAAACAGCACACAGATGGTGTTTACATCTCTCTCCAACACTTTATTGAAGTAACTGTAGAATGAGACAAGGAATGTGACGCTAAATAATGTTCTCTGAAATTAATCTGCAGTTTGGTTCTCCTTGCAATAATGGTCGCTACTTGGACGGTGACGGCCACTTCCTCGGAGTTCAGTCCCCTGGCTGCAGTGCAATTATGGAGTGGACAAGGCACGAATCACAACACAAATTGAGTTCACCGTGGCTTCTTGACCACGCGCTGCGACCGCGTTCTTGCGACGCAAGACTTCCTAACCCTTACCCTACCCCTAACCCTACCCCTAGCCCTAATTATGTCATTTGTTTTGTTCCATCTTGTCCACTCCGTAATTGCACTGCAGCCAGGGGGCTGAACTCCGAGGAAGTGGCCGTCGCCGTCCAAGTAGCGACCGTTATTGCAAGGAGAGCCTGCAGTTTGCTTTTATTTGCCTAACTTTTGCCCTTTTAAAAATCGAAGCAACTGCATACAGTCATACAGAGTTTTTGCATGTACTTAAATTCTCCTTGTGTGGTCTTGATCTTTGAGAGGAGACCAGAGTACTTATAAAAATATCCAAGTGCCAAACAGCTTACAAATGACACTTTACACACACAACCGGTGGATCCGCATATATTGTTTTATTTGCTGTGACTCTTTACATCGTGAGTTTTAATAATTCAGGATGTGAAGTCACAAAACAAATGAAAACTAAGTAACCACAATAACAGTATGGAAATATTTTATTGAACCTGTTCTTATATCACCATAAATCAATAACACTGCTGGTCGTTGGGTCACCAGTTGCTGTTGACTGTCTGATCACTTCTCTCCACATTTTTTTAAGCAGATCAGTGGACTTTATATTTGCATAAATGAGGCATGTCCATTCAGCCAAAATCTATTTCCAGGTCCTTCTTGGTCTAACTATTTCTCTCTACCAAGCCCTATTCCCACATTTGACAGTGAATTTGTATTGTGTGTGAACAAATTAGAAAAAGCTTGGAGGCATCAGAGATTTAGTTTTTAAGCCATATGTTGCAAATATCTTGGGCAGGCAGAATGACTTAACATTGATTGCCTGCATGTTTAAGAAAGTGCTTTAAAAGCCAGAAGAAATCGTGAGACAAAATGAAGAGGTTATAAGAACTATTTGAACAATATCAATTTTTATTTAATTGAGCAACAAAGACAGAAATGGTTTGGACATGAGAATGAGTTTATTGATGTCAGCAGTCAGAGTGTACAACATGAAAATAGAAAAACTGAGAGTAGAAACACTGATAGGCAAGAGGGAGAGAGAGAGAGAGAGAGAGAGAGAGAGAGAGAGAGAGAGAGAGAGAGAGAGAGAGAGAGAGAGAGAGAGAGAGAGATCTAGAAGATGACTGAATGACTCACTGACAGCTATAGACTTCCACAAAATCACAGCAGACTAAGCAGCTGAGTACACCCTAGCTCAGTTATCTACAAAATGTTAAGCTTCAAAGCTTATCAGCACAAAACAGACACTGACAAAAAAAGAAAGTAGATTTCCTTAAAAAAACCCAAAGGAAAGCAGAATCTTAAACACAATGATGAGAGAGAGAGAGAGAGATTGCTCTTTGATCATATAATGAGAAGAGGCGGTAGAAAACATTTTCCTGACTGGAAAGATCAGCAGTAGAAAGGTCAGACGCAGATTGACAGAAAATATGCTGGATGGTCTAAGACAGGGATATTCAGCTAAGTTTATGCAGGGACCAAAATGTTGAAAATAAGGACCATCATGTTCAAGAGGCTTGAGCTTCAGTGTGGAAATTGTATGAATACAGTGCAGATGACAATGATCCGTGAGCCATTGCCAGATGACTGTGGGTCGGATTCAACCAGCGTGTTCCCAGTTTAAAAAACTTGATCTAAAATGTGGGATTATGTCATCATTGCAAGTGTTACAGAGCACCACAAACTTGAAATCTATAGAAAGAGAAGAATGCCCACACCATGGCATGGTAAGACACATGATAATGTTGATGTTGCATTTTCATTAATAACTATTTAAGGTTTTTTTTATTTTTTCCTGCAGTTTTATTACAGACACCTGGTTTATAGCTGTGGTCTGCTATTTTTTCAGGAAAATGTGGAAGAATTTTTCAAAAGTGGCCACACAAACAACTGGGCTGTCCTCGTTGACACCTCCAGGTTCTGGTTCAACTACAGGCATGTGGCTAACGTGCTGTCAGTCTATCGCAGTGTCAAGAGACTTGGTATCCCAGACAGGTGAATATACTACTTACTAGAAGCTCACCTCGCTTTTTGTGAGTTCCATTTCCTGACTAACAGATCATAAGTCGCACTGGTCATAATTTGAATTTGTATATTTCAACACTATTTTCATTCACTGGATTGTAAACATTGTACATAAAACACAAAAATGTAATCTGTGTATGCTCATACATATTATACATAATGGGAAAAATACATAATATGTACTCTGTTGCATCAGTTCTGGAAACTTTTTTTTTTTTTTTTTTACCCTGGCAAGGTAGTTATAATTTCTTCTTTACAATTTTTTTTTGTAGTCATAAGTGCATATGGTCATCAAGGAATCTGGGTAATACTGAGCCATTGTAACCCAAGTTTGTCCAAATCCCTGTTGGTTACCTTAGCAGACAGATGTTACAAATTAGGATGAAGATCATTCTCATGGTTTTCTTGTGGTGCGAGAGTCATACCATAGAAGAGATTAAGACCTCATGAGGTAATATCCCCAAAGACAACAGTGGAGGCACCCTAGCCATCTTCCATTTTGGAGACTGCAGAAACAAATTAAATTCAAAAAATAGGATGAAAGATTAGTTTGTCATTTGCAGAGGAAAAAATATCACACTCATTATTGATATGAGCAGTAAGTTAACAGACTAATTCTGTGAAAATGCTTATGGAGACTCCAAAACCTGTCTTTCTCCACTTCAGCACCTTCACCATGAAGGTGAAATGGTTATTTTTGTCACTGCCATCCAAATTTGCTCTGGTAACCACACCACTCTTATCTTTGAAAATGACCCCATTCACAGAATTTGAGTTCTGCAACCAACAGGAATTACTATCTAACATTTTTTCATTTCAGGTATATTCCTTTATCACTAAAATATGTCACTTGTTTACTGTAAATTTTCCCCTCCAGTCAGTTTTAAAAAAAAAGTTTTATATTTTTTAATGTAACTTGCATATTCACATGTGAGTCATGGACAGTAAGGAGACAAGCTGAAAAACATGTGGTTTCTGAGAAGAATGCAGAGAATATCATGGAAGGATAGAAAACAAATGAAGCAATCATCATCGAGACAAATGAAAGTCGTAAGCCTATTAGAAATTTAGATGTAGACAGTTAATGTTTTTCGGACTTGTTATGGGAAGAAATGGACACGAGAACTTGGAAACAACTGGCAAGAGTGATGGAAACATAGCAAGAGGAAGGCAAAGAGATAAATACTGGATGGCCTGACCAGATGGATGGGGCGAGACAAAAGCATTGAACTGATCTGTGATTCTCGTGATCGTGTGAGATGGTGAAACATGACAGCCTATGCTTGCCTGCATGATGGTGATGACATAATTTGCTTGTCAGTTTTTTTTTTTTTTTTTTCATCTGTCTTCACACAGTCTCTTTGGGACAGCGGTTCTTAACCTGTGACGCTTTTATGGGTCGAATGACCCTTTCACAGATGTCGTCTAAGACCATCGGAAAACACATATTTACTTGAATTATGAAGTAGCAATGAAAATAATGGTATGGTTTGGGGGGGGGGGGGGGGACACAACAACATGAGGAACTGTATTAAAGGGTCACAGTGTTAAAACGGTTGAGAGCCACAGTTTTAGAACCTCCATTTTTGCTTGCTGTTGTTACCATAAAATATGGCAAATTGTTCTGATTTCTGCAAAGCTGAGATTTCTTTGTCCATTATTTCAGTCAGATTATTCTGATGGTGGCCGATGATATGGCATGCAATCCCAGGAACCCGCGGCCAGGTATGTGTTCTTCCTGTTTGTTTTGTAAAATAAATGGCACTACAAAGCCTTTTTACAAACTTATGAGAACAGGTCTGACAACAAATCTTTTCATCTGTGGGAGATGAAAACAGTAAAGAATAGAAAGAGAAGCAACAACGAAGTTAATAATTTGTTTAAATCTGAAAATACTACTGCTTGTTGCCTCTTAATATTATATTTCCACTTGTATCACTGGGGAGCCTCCATGGTCTAGTGGTTAGACGCTTGCCTGTGAATCGGAAGGTCATGGGTTCTGGTCCTGACAGTGGCCGGACTTTTTTCAAAAATGACCTTGGCTCTCAGGTCATCCCAGTCTTGAGTACCAAGTGCAGTCCTGGGAAGTAAAGGTGGCCGGCGTGACTCTGACCACATCACCCAGCATGTGCCGATTGGTCTATAAAATATAGGTTTAGCCCTATATACCCAGTACACCTGAAAGCATGGAAAAGGGCCCTTTACTTTTACTAACTTGTATCACTGTCTTATAAGCGATAGTTTCAGAACACCAAAAACAGACATGCATGGATAGAAAATGGCACCTGTGTCATCTGGCAAACGTGTGATAATGATGATCAATATTGGTGTCAGTTTTCATCTCTGTTGGCAGTTTTGACATTAGTATTGCTCAATTTAGACGTTAAATCACATCTCTGGCAAAATTGTGCTTATGTGTGGTATTGTTTTCCTACAGCTACTGTGTTTAACAATGCCAACCAAAACATCAATGTTTACGGTGACGACGTGGAGGTAGACTACCGCGGCTATGAGGTAATTAACTCCCAAAATATTCATTAATCCACAATTACAGCATTGGATTTCAGGACCGCTGTGTCAACGTTTGTGCTTCTCAGACGTTCAGCTCTCATCCTTTCTGCAATCATTTCTTCCTTCATTCTTATTCCCTTCCACACAACACAGTTCATGGCATTTTATTCCCCCCTCCCTTACGTCACTCTGTACAGAAAATACTGTTTAGCATCTCTTATCATTATACTTGTATTATTGTTTCTGTATTGCTTGCCACTTTCTCTCTCTCTCTCTCTCTCTCTCTCTCTCTCTCTCTCCCTCTCTCTCTCTCTCTCTCTCTCTCTCTCTCTCTCTCTCTCTCTCTCTCTCTCTCTCTCTATTTCTCCCCATTCGTTAATCTGTACAGGAAATACTACTGTTTGCCGTCTCTTAATAGTATCTCTCTACTTTTATCATTGTCTATTTATTGATTGCCGCTCTCTCTCTCTCTCTTTCTTTCTCTCTCTCTCTCTCTCTTTCTTTCTCTCTCTCTCTCTCTCTCTTTCTCTCTCTCTCTCTCTCTCTCTCTTTCTTTCTCTCTCTCTCTCTCTCTCTCTTCTCTCTCTCTCTCTCTCTCTCTCTCTCTCTCTCGTTCTCTCTCTCTCTCTCTCTCTCTCTCTCTCTCTCTCTCTCTCTCTCTTTCTTTCTCTCTCTCTCTCTCTCTCTCTCTCTTTCTTTCTCTCTCTCTCTTTCTTTCTCTCTCTCTCTCTCTTTCTCTCTCTCTCTCTCTTTCTTTCTCTCTCTCTCTCTCTCTCTCTCTCTCTCTCTCTCTCTTTCTCTCTCTCTTTCTTTCTTTCTCTCTCTCTCTTTCTTTCTCTCTCTCTCTCTCTCTCTCTCTCTTTCTCTCTCTCTCTCTCTCTCTCTCTCTCTCTCTCTCTCTCTCTCTCTCTCTCTCTCTATTTCTCCCCATTTGTTAATCTGTACAGGAAATACTACTGTTTGCCGTCTCTTAATAGTATCTCTCTACTTTTATCATTGTCTATTTATTGATTGCCGCTCTCTCTCTTTCTTTCTCTCTCTCTCTCTCTTTCTTTCTCTCTCTCTCTCTCTCTCTCTCTCTCTCTCTCTCTCTCTCTCTCTCTCTCTTTCTCTCTCGTTCTCTCTCGTTCTCTCTGTTCAGTCTGTACAGAAAATACTACTGTTTACTTTCTCTTAACTCTATGAGTCCCAACGAATGCATCATACGTTCATATGTTCTGACCTAGAGACCCAATAAACGCAAGATTTGTTGATTTTTACGTCTTCTCTTTACTACCCCTTGGGCCTCTGATGCTAAACCCTCTATGACTCAAAGATTTAATATTCTCTTTCTACTTGTATCATTGTCTATTTATTGCTTGGTTGCCTTGATTGTTTTCCTTTTGGTTTAGTTTTTTTTTAATTTGTATTTTAATTGCTTGACATAAATTATTTTTCTCCAAAGCTGCCAATGGTTTTAATTACAGGTAACTGTTGAGAATTTTATCCGAGTCTTGACAGGAAGACTGCCTCCAAGCACACCTCGGTCTAAGCGATTGTTGTCAGATGAGCGGAGCAACATTCTTGTCTATATGACAGGTAGGATTTACACACTTCACATATTGATGTCTTTTTTTCTAATAAGTTACCTTTGTATTCATAATCACTGATCATTATTACTTTGGATGAAAAGTGGTCTTCATCTCTCGTGATGGATGAACAACATATTGATGTTCTCATTAGATTGTGTGGTATTTGTTTTCACACATTTCCATGTGTGGGTTCCAAGACACCATTTTAGGGGGAAAAAATGGACCCATCTCCCCTTAATAAGTACAGTGGTACCTCCATGTACGTTCGTTTTGGGATTAGCCCGACATGATGTGTGTCCTATATAGATGCGAAAGATGTTGTTTAGTAAATGATCTGTGTTTGGAATATGACTCCCATGCTAGAACTTGTATGAGTCAAAATAGGTCATGACACCTGGCGCTTTACCTTGTTAACCACTTTCTCAGGCTCAGAGTGGAAGGAGATAGAGGCAGCCTCGACTTTATTAATACAGGAACTGCTTCTTCTTCTTCTTGTTTCATTTAAAATAATTTATCTATATCTGCAATGTTATCTCTAGTATGAACTTCACTGTCTTTTGTAATTCACTCAGCGACGCATAAAGTTTGACTTTCACCGATGTTTCTCTCGATTGGGGAACTGTTTCCTAAATGGATGATGTCAAATACTTTACAGAGAAGGATACCAACAAAGCCCAAACAAGCTGTAATAACACTGGAATAATTGGCAGTGTCACATTTACAAAACATCCTTAGGAGAAGGCAGAAGCAAAGTTCTTTGGCAGATCTTTAGTAAAGGTCAAATACGGTAGGCCTCAAATAGGTCCTTGTAGAGAAAAGAGACAGAAGAAATGAAAAAGATATTAAAAAAACGCACCAGATTTTCAGATTCCTGAAGTTTTATTAGGAGGGGGGTTCTCTTTTAGAACAACAACATCTCCTCCTCCCTTCTCAACACTTTCCTAGTAATCAGTTGACTCTTCTCAGCAATGTAAAGTGAGGTTAAAGTTTTAATTATTTCATAATCTAATTGTTTTTATGTTGTAGTATTAAACAGTGTTTCAACTATTTTATACAATCCTTTCAATGTATAATATGCCAGTAACAATAGGAGGTTTTTCCTGGAAATAGATTCATCATTTGTCCTTTATTTCATATGGGGAAAATGTCTTTGGTATACGGCCTGTTTTATATATGTCCAAGAATCTGGAACAGATTAAGGACTTATACTGAGATAGATACTACACTGGAAGGAAAATTATTTCTTTGCTTCATTTGTATATAGTGGTTATTTCCCCTTTGCGCAAAAATAAATCAAAATATGAAAAATCTTTCTTTTTAGTGACTTGTTGACTGTGATGATGCAATAGCTAGCAGGCTTGCCTGTCTGCTTGGTGATCATAGGTTTCAACCCAATTAACTTTTATTAAAATTCACCAAGACTCCAAATTTCTTCTAGGTAAGTTGTATCCCACCAGGACATAACACAAGTGATAAACACCCAGTGACACAAGGGGCTGCCATGCAGATGAGGATCCCCCGTGGAGAGGTCCCGGAACCCCCGTTCAACCGTTAGGCCATATTTAGGGCCCGGCTATATTTAGGCCCCCCGGCAAAAGCCAGGGTGGGGCTTCAAAATAACTAAAAATTGCATCCTACAAAAGGATGACTAGTAACAATTTCTTCTGCTGCTTCTTCTCTTCTTAGGGTACACTTTCAGATAATTATAACTGCATTTATTTTTAATGAAATCTTGACAAAGGTCTTTTTTTTTTAAAGATTGTACAAGGTGAAACAGCTGCAGACGGTTTGTCTTGCATTGATTTCGACAGAGAACTAACTGTTTAAAAGGCAGTGACAAACTACTGAATGTAAAATTTGCCTGGAAAAATCACAACAGTGAAAAAATGCTGGGGTCGGTTCTGCAATGTTCTGTAAAGGAAACACAACTAACTTTAAACAGGGTGAACAAGTTAATAAAACAATGAAAGCTAGAAACACAATTCTTGTGTGTTATAGTGAATCGTTTTAATAATTGACCATGAATTTTAGTTATGAAATAAGCCCCCCAAAAAATCCATTCAAGCTTTACGAAAGGGTGTTCTACAAAATATTCATAAGCTAATTTTGTTATTTTTTAATGACTGAATAGAAAATAATGCAATACATACAGAGGGCTGGATATAAGTCTTTGCTTTGACCATGAAGACATCTGCCGGAGAGGCGGGGAACGAGTACTGCAAACAAATAAGCCAGTAAAATGGATGTACACGCAAAACTCAGGTCAAGGTAAAAGCCAAAAGTCCATTTTGGACGAACAACCGTGACTTACCGCCGGAATTCACAGCCGGTGAACAAGAAGAAGAAGAAGAAGAAGACCATGAAGAGGTACCAGGAGAAGGGTTAAATGAGGCACACTGAATGCACCTCATTGTTGCACTCAACACGAAGCATGCATTTGCTTCTTCAATAGTCCTTGCTGTTTGGTGCATGACACAACATACCTTGTTATTTTCAATACCACTTCAGTGATTTGTCAGAAGAATAAGGCCATCAGATGCCAGGGCTGTATTATAATTTCTGTTTTTGCTGGGAGATTCACTTACAAAAATAGACAATGATGTGCAGTTTTCTAACCAGTCACCATTGTTGTTAATTATAAAGCCAAAAGTTGGAAATGGTTGCATTTTTATATTGTCTCTGTTGTTGATTGCAGTGTTTTGTCAACATGTATTACATTTGACAATCACCTAAATTTTAGTGTAATTTTATATATTTGTGTGCTGAGTTAACAAATGTTGCTTTATGGACTAAACAAAATATGTGTGCATCATCACAGACTAGTAAAACCTAGAGGGTCTGGTGTGGCAAATATTTCTTCGTCAGTGTATATTAATGCATTTTTATAAACAGTGAGTATTGATCAATTCACAGGGCATGGAGGAGATGGCTTCCTCAAGTTTCAGGATGCTGAAGAGGTTTCCAATGTGGAGTTGGCAGATGCTTTTGAACAGATGTGGCAGAAGCAGAGGTTTCACTAACTTGTTGTCTTTAAGTTCTCTTTTGGTCTTGGAGTAACACATTTGTTTTGGAGTAACACATTTGTTTTGGAGTAACATTTGTTTTGGAGTAACACATTTGTTTTGGAGTAACACATTTGTTAAACTTGGAGAGCGGCATGTAGTTCTAGCTCACAATCATCGTAATAGTATTATTCTATCATTTCCTGAATCGGTTCCAGGAGCCGGTTTTGAGGGGGAAAGAAAAGAGACCCCCCATGCCTCCAACAGGCATGTTGTAAAACACAAATAATTTAGGACAGTGTATCCCAAACTTTTCTTAGTCGCGGCACATTTTTTCAGTTAAAATTTTTGACAGCGCCCTAATATAAGTAAAAGTATGACTGTTCGTATGTAAGAAATATTTATAATTAAAAAAAAAAACTTGTGTATCTTCAAATATTTTGCTGCGGCCCTGTGAAGAGGCCGTGGCGCACAGTTTGGGAATCACTGATTGAGGATTTGCTGAAATGGTTTGGATAAGAATGTCCTAGTTTCAGCTGCCACACTGAAGAAAATATAAGATCTTGCACGATGTCTTCTTCTTTTTCTTCTTAGCATTCACCAGCAGAACTTGAATTTTGCATGCACAGATCTAGCTAATGTGTGTGCAGACTATTGGTTCTATGCTTCTCAGGCAGATGCACTCTGACTTTAAAGGAGACACCCCTGATCAGTTGCTCCCTACACCATGCTTATTAAGGGGGCAGGGGGTCGATTTTTTGTTCTTGCATATGGAGCCCTGGAACACACACAGGAAATGCAAAATGTGAAATGACAACATCAAGAAAAACCGGAAAGAAATAATGATCAACTTTTACTTTTACGATGCATTAGAAAGAGCATACAGATGATTCTTGCATCCTGTGTCCTTTACACACACACACATATATGCACGCCCGCCCACGCACTCACTCTGTCACCCACGCTCACTCATTCACTCATTTTAACTCACTCTCACTCACTCTCTCAATCACTCTCACTCATTCACTCACTCACTTTAATTCACTCTCTCACTCACTCACACTCACTCACTCACTCAGACTCACGCTGTCTTACTCACTCACTCACTCACTCTCATTCACTCACTCCCTCACACACTCCCTCACACAATTTCTTGAGGTAACCAAAGGCAGAGAATCAAGAACATTTGTACTAATAAACCTCCATGCTTCCATATTTTGACTAAGCCAAGATCACATAATTTTTTCAATAATAGTCTGAATGTAATTTTTTGTTTTTCTGTTTGAATGATCTATGATAAAAGCTTACAGATATAACCAGAGATAACCTGTCTTGCAGATATCATGAGGTGTTCTTTATGATTGACACCTGCCAGGCAGAGTCTATGTTCCAGAAATTCTACTCACCAAATATTCTAGCAGTGGCAAGCAGTAAAGTTGGGGAAGATTCACTTTCTGTAAGTCTAGTCTGTATCCTTCCCTCTTGTCTGTAGCCGCCCCTGTTGTCTCTAGCCCTTCCTCTTGTCTGTGGCTGTCCCTCTTGTCTGTGGCTGTCCCTCTTGTCTGTAGCTGTCCCTCTTGTCTGTGGCTGTCACTCTTGTCTGTGGCTGTACCTCTTGTCTGTGGAGATGCTCTGTTATATTTGCCTTTATGAAGGCTTGGCTGGCTGGGTCACACTTTGAAAAGGGAAGAGGGTTAAAAGTCCCTAAGAACATACTCTATGGTGAATTATAGATGTGTAGAAGATGTCAAGGCTGGCCTCTACCATGATTTAAAGATTTTTTGCTAGCAGGACATGAATAATACAGTTATTGAGGTAGATTTATGGGAACAAAATGCTCAGGACCATATTGAGTGGATGGTAAAAATCGGGAAGACGAGGGAATAAAGGAACAAGTTATTGCAGAAAGGTTGAGAGCTGAGAAGCACTCTAAATACATGAAATGGCAGCGGTCATGAAATCCCATGCTCTCATGGAAGACTTTTATAAATGGGAGCGAGTCTTGCTAGTCACACTTGCCATTGCCATGGGATGTGATTCCCATGCCTCCCCATAACACCATATAACACTGTCGTCTGGAAAGTTACCAACAATATGATACCTTCATTTACGTTCATTCACCTAGATAATTCTATGTATGATAAGGCAGATGGGGTCAAGGCTTTTTGGGAACAAGCAACGGAATCAGTAGAGAAACAAGATTATTATAGCCTGGAGAGAATGAGGCACCTGGGTCTAACCAGAGGGTCTGGCCGGCTCACTACACTCAGAGGAAAGACAAGATGGACAAAAAAACCAGATTGTGACTGGTACCATCAATATTGGAACTCTGCGCTGGCTGCTGAAGATGAGGACAGAGCATGTATGGGAATGCCCCAATGGCTGTAATATCAATTCTTGACTCAACTCAGTGTATGATAACTCCACAAACGCAGTCATCTCACTTAAAAGCATTTCATTTAGATAGTTCACACACAGTCATTTCACACTGGGATCACTTCACTTTATCATTTTATTTCTTAAATCAATCTCATTTATTATCATTTTACTTAGATTGTCTAACACAAAAGCACCTAACTTAAAATCATTTCACTTTGATCATTTTGTTTTATCATGTATCTTAAAGGTGTTAAAGTCAATTAGTGGATATGCTGTTATATGATTCTTTAAGAAAATGCCAGTTTCTCAGTGTTTTTTATGAACTTGTGATCTTTCTTTCCCTTTGTTATTTGTTCTAAAATGTTACATAAACATTTTACAACTATTTAATATTTCTTGTTTAGCTGTTTGGCAGCAGGTTGGCAAGATTGTATGTATCTAATTGTTTGTTATTTATAATCATCATCATCAGTTTCAATGTTTGCTCTTAAGTGCCTTGGGGAGGAACGGTTTGCGATCCATTGTTTGATGGGCAGCGATGGCTGGTTATTCTGTGTCAGTGTGGAAGCTCTTTAATGTCATCAGTCCATCTAATCCCAGGGTGACCTCTTGCTTGTACATAAGATCTTTTTATGTATTATTTAACAGTGTTACTGTAATCAATTTATAAAAGTGTTAATTTTTCTACTGATAAATTTATTGTGGTGTAGCTTCTAGATGCTGACTTGTGGATCCAAAGGTTGCGGATTCAAATTCAAATTCAGAGCCTTACTTTTTTTATTTTTTTATTATGTCCATGGCTGCCAGGTTGACCCAGCCGTAAGTGGGTACCAAGTAGAGTCCTCATGGGAAGTGAAGGCGGCCTGTATGATGCTGACCACATCACCCATCAAGTGCCTTTTGGTATATAAACTAAAGGTGTAGCACCATGTGCCAGAAGGCACGGAAGAGGGTACTGTACTAATACAGCTCTGAGTTGGTGTCTTCATCCTTTACTTTTTTAATACAACTCTGAGTTGTTGTCTTCATCCTTTACTTTAAAAAAAATATATATATATTTCTGAGTTGTTGCCTTCACACTTCACCATTGTTCTCATCCTAATCCAGCATCATGTGGACCCAGCTCTGGGTGTGTATGTTATTGATCGCTACACGTATTATGCCCTGGAGTTTCTGGAAACTGTTAAGCCGGGATCAAAGAAAACCATGGCACAGTTTGTGAGTTACACTGTTTCTTTTTGTGATGATTTTTATTGGGGAAGAAAAGTGAGGTCCTTGCATTGTTTCTTTTTCCTCTTTTTTCTTCTTCTTCTTTTTCTTCTTCTCCTTCTTCTTCTTCTCCTCCTCCTCCTCCTCCTCCTTCTTCTTCTTCTTCTTGCTTCTTCTTCTTGCTTCTTCTTCTTGCTTCTTCTTCTTCTTGCTTCTTCTTCTTCTTGCTTCTTCGTCTTCTTCATCTTCTTCGTCTTCTTCGTCTTCTTCTTCTTCTTCTTCTTCTTCTTCTAACTACCACTAACTAACTACCACTGACTACTAACTACCACTGACTACTAACTACCACTAACTAACTATCACTAACTACCACTAACTAACTATACTACCACTAACTAACTAAACTACCACTAACTAACTACTTTACTTACTTACTACTACTTACTACTACTACTTACTACTACCTACTACTTACTACTACCTACTACTACTTACTACTACTTACTACTGCTACTTACTGCTGCTACTTACTACTACTATTTACTACTACTACTTACTACTAATTACTATTATTCTTCTTCTTCTTCCTCTTCCTCTTCTTCTATTTATTCGCACTACATTTGTTTCTAGAAAAGTATCTAACATTTACTAATGTATTTTCTGCACTAGAAATAAGATTCTGAAAGTTATTAGCTCACACAATTGAGATGTGTACAATATAAATTAGCCTCCAAAAAAGTGCTTAACACTGAGGGAGGTACTATCCATTTGTGGAGAACGTGAAAATGAACAAGCAGATGAACTTGAAGGTATCAATGACTCCTTCAGACCATCTTCTTCTTGCTCGTACCCTACTTCTTGGTGTTTCTGCTTCCATGTTGAATGCTCTCGTTTCTGGCATCATTGGATTCATTCTCATTAACTGTCCAAACCATTAAATCATTTCTTCAGTGAAATCGGTTAAAGGTTTGTTCCAGTAGTTCTCGTAATTTCTTCATTCTTTCATGCCTCTTCAGTTTTGTTCATAGTCTTTCTCAGACATCTCACTTGACAGGTGGACGATTTTCTTCCATTTCTCTAGTCGGTGTCCAAGTCTGTTGCTGATAGCACAAAGTTGATCTGAAGATTGCGTTTATAATTTGCCTGTTCATCTCTCTTTATATAGCTGGGTGTTTCAAAATGGTGTCTTCAGTAATTACTATCGGAAATTATTTTATTTTTGTATTTCTCTTCTCATTCAAGTTCAGAGTTTGTCCTAAAGATCAGTGCATTAGTACAGTCAGCACCCGGACAGACTTGTTTCAGAGGGATGTCTCACAGACCTTGTTGACAGACTTCTTTGGAGGAGAGCGCAATGTAGAGCTGCTTACAGGTGAGAAACTCCTCATTCTGTTCATGAAGAACTGCATACAGTTTAGAAACTTGACTTATATGTTTCTCATTTTAACCCAACATCTCATGGATCCAGCTCTGGAGGTAATGTAGAGCTGCTTACAGGTGAGAAACTCTCATTCTGTTCATGAAGAACTGCATACAGTTTAGAAACTTGACTTATATGTTTCTCATTTTAACCCAACATCTCATGGATCCAGCTCTGGAGGTAATGTAGAGCTGTTTACAGGTAAGAAACTCTCATTCTGTTCATGTAGAACTGCATACAGTTTAAAAACTTGACTTATATGTTTCTCATTTTAACCCAACATCTCATGGATCCAGCTCTGGAGGTAATGTAGAACTGCTTACAGGTGAGAAACTCTCATTCTGTTCATGTAGAACTGCATACAGTTTAGAAACTTGACTTATATGTTTCTCATTTTAACCCAACATCTCCAGCTCATGTAGAGCTGCATACAAGCTAGAAACTTCTCATTCTGTTAATATAGAGCTTCAAACAGGTTACAAACTCAAAATTCTGTTGATGCGGATCATTGTGTAAACTATGAGACTCAATTGTTGTGCATTTTCTATAAACGGTTGAGCTATGCATTTAAAAAGCGAGAAATTTTTTATCTCCCTTAAATTACTAATTAACAAGAATTAAATTGAATAATTTGACTTCTGACTTTCCTGCAGAAACTGTCGCATTGTCAAAGTTAAACTCAACCACGGCCCGACAGAGCTGCAAGTAAGTAAATTTTGAGTGATGTATCACACGGCTCCATTAGCTTATCTTCTTCTTCTTCGCGTTTACCAGCTGTACACTCTGGCAAAAAGTTCTGGTTGTTCGTTCACTTCTGGACTGCAGTCCTGCTCCAGAACCTGAGTGTTGCGTGTGCATCAGTTTTACAGATCTGATTCACTTGAATGCAGACTGTTGGTTCCTTGCTTCTTAGGCAAATGCACGCTGACTTCAAAGGAAGCTCCCAGTTAGTCGAATGCATTATGCTGATGTCGTTTGGTGTGTACTGACCTGCATATGCTCATTCACCAAGGACAGCAGTATGTTTCAATGCAGAAACTAATGTAGCTGCAGAATCTTGCAATTATAACTATTTCATAAGGTTGTACAGGGTGTCTAGAATTTGTTCCATTTAGATTGGAATCAAAAATCTGGCTCATTGGCGGCTGTGTTGTCATCCTTCAGGTAGCATTCCTGGAGAGGCGAAAATCAAATTCAGTCCGGTACTTTTCTGACCTTTGCTACTTTTCCTACCTTTGTTACTTTTCCAACCTTTGTTACTTTTCTGACCTTTGTTAAATTTATTACCTTTGTTACATTTCTAACCTTTGTTACATTTCTGACCTTTGCTACTTTTGTGACCTTTGTCAATTTTATAATCTTTGTTACTTTTACAACCTTTGTTACATTTCTGACCTTTGTTACTTTTACAACCTTTGTTACATTTCTGACCTTTGTTACATTTCTGACCTTTTTTACTTTTATTATCTTTGTTATGTTTCTAATCTTTTTATTTTCCTGTCACTTTTTCTTTTTCTTTGTAACTTTTCGGACTTTTGTTACTTTTCTGACCTTTTTTTACTTTCCCTACTTTTTTACTTTACCGGCCTTTGTTACTTTTCCTACCTTTGTTACTTTTCCGACCTTTTTTTACCTTTCCAACTTGTTTTACTTTTTTTTTACCTTTGTTACTTTTCCCACCTTTGTTACTTTTCCAACCTTCACAGTCTTAAAATGCATTTATACTTGTTAACACATCAGATGCTTTCTATCTTTAGAACCAGCAAGTTTGTCTTCACCTTTTAAATCTTTAAGAATTGATTGAAAATGTATATGTATATAATTGACTAAATATATACACAAAGACACGTAGGAGGAAGTTTAAATTAGAGGATACATTAGACAGCAGAACAGAAAGCTCACGATAAGAACAAAATACAAACTCGTTTATCAGGATTGTGTTCTCAGCACTCTGCTCTATGGCCGTGACACCTGGTCAACTTATTTGCACCATGAGAAACGGTTGAACAGCTTTCACATGCAGTACCTAAGAAGAATACTTGGCATTAAGTGGCAAGGCAAGATCACAAACACTGAGGTATTGGACATAGCGGTTAACACAACAGTTTCCTCAATAGTCAGTCTTGGAAAACTCAGGTGGCTAGATCCACTTGAAAGATGAAGAATGGTAGAGTCCCTAAGGACATCCTCTATAGTAAAAAAAGATGTGTTTGTATAAAATGTGACTGTGACAGATGACAGCCCGACCCCGGCTGTCATCAAGGGCCCTAATATAACCTAATGGTTGAACAGTGTTTCTGGGACTTGTGCCGGGGGAATTCTCATACGAATGATGGCTCTTTGTGTCACCGGGTGTTTATCACTCATTGTGCAGTCCTGGTTGGGTTAAACGTTAGTGACAGCAGGGACATCATATTATCTTTTGGGATGACCAAGAAACATATGCTGGGGATTCTTTGGTACTAAAAAAATGTAATTGGCTGATGACAATTTTCAAACAGGATGTTAACTTTGACCTCTCTTTGTCTGCAGCAGAGAGACGTGTGAAACCAGCGAGAAAAAGAAAAGCAAGTTTGCTTATGTTGACCAGATTCCAAGTGTGTTGGTATGAGGAGCTCAGTGTTAGTACACATGCTGGTGATTGATGATGATGATAACCTTCATAAATCATGATTGCATGAGTTAGATAAGAATTCATTGTGTGAATGTGTTTATGTATGTTTGGTTTTTATGTGTGGTGTGTGAAAACTCTAGGAAAGAATACAATATGTGTGTGTGCGTGTCTGAAAGTACTCTTAGCTCACAACAGTAACAAAGAACATGGTGCTCAGTTAATCCAGAAGAAAAATGAACATTTGGTAGAGCTCTTCTTTGCTCATCAGTCGAAGGAAGGTAATGATGCCCGCTAATACAAGCAAACATTAAACCTTTGCTAAAGCTCCAGAGTTCATTCTTTGTACAATGCTGTCATGGCAACTGGATTCTCTGCATAGAGCCCATTCCAAATTTGGCCAAACCTGACACCATGAAGTTGATCCTTTCACTTTTAAATCATATAAAACTAGCTTTGTGACTGCCCATAAACCCAACACCATGAAGTTGATCCTTTCACTTTTAAATCATATAAAACTAGCTTTGTGACTGCCCATAAACTTATGGTTTGGCAAATCATTTTAGAGCTTTTCTGTTATCTTTCACATCCACACAATGTGGATGATTGTAATTTTTATTTTTGCTAGAGTTGTTGCTCCTGATGGCTGTTGTTGAGTTTTAGTGCTGATTTCTTTTTGAGATGCAGATATACCCTTTTTATTTTATCCTTTTTTCTTTTTTTTTAACTTCATTTCTCAGTAAACTGGTTTTACTCATTTTGAAAGTTTCAACCAACGATATTTATTGGAATCAAGAAGATGTTAACACTTTCAGTCCCAGACAAGGACTTTAATTTATTAGGTATAATTCACTTTTATCAGTCATCATGTTGTATATGTTGTTACATCTTATCGACCTAAGTTTTGCAAACATCTCTGAAGAACTCTCACAATGTATTTGTTTCCTACAAGGGTTGTATATTTTATCCACTGCGAAAATAGTAAGAAGAGGAGAAATACTGACATCTTGAAAGATCTGAACATCAAGGAAAATTGGCTAATAAACAGCATCCTGTCTTGGAAGCTGAAATATTTTGGTCATATCAAGTGCCATGATGGATTTGAAAAAATTATAGCAGAAGGCATGGTACCAGGAAGGAGGGGCAGGGCCCGACCAACACGAAGATGGGCACAGGATATAAGTGACTCCTTGAGTGTGAAAGTTCATGAGAAGGGAGAGCTGGCGAGCGACCGAGTTTTCTTTCAGGCAGACCGTTCTGCAAGGGACCTGCTACATGATGATGATGGCGAAAATAGTATACCCATGAGTTCAGTTTTGACATTCATAACTCCCTCGGACATTAGCTAGGGCCTTATGGGCGTGAAAAACATGACAAAATGCACAAAATAGAATTTATGACTGTTATTGCAGGCTTTATACAGCATTTAAAGGAAGGTAAAGATCTTTGAAACGCATCATTTCTTAATTAAATCTGGATGGCATGTTAACATCACCTCCGTGCTCATGCTCTATAAATGTAATTTCTTGATAATGACTGCAATTTATTAGTAATTGCCTTAGTTAATGACCTGACTTGATTATGAATGTTTTATAAACATCTCTTCTTGATTCTGAATGTTCTGTGAACATCATGTCTTGATTTTGAATTTTCTTAAATCTGTTTGGATTTTTATCATGGTATGGGGTGTCGCAGGTTGACCCAGCATAAAATGGGTACCAGGATGGCTGTCCTGGGAAAGTAAATTTGGCCGGCGTAATGCTGACCACATTATCCACCTAGTACCAATGGTCTGTAAAAATATGGGCGCTCTTCCTACATACCTGTGGGCTGTAAAATAATAATTAACATAACACAATTCCAAGTTTGGTATAAAGTAAAAGCCTTTTATTCTTCTTGAATAATATGCTGACAACAAAAATTGAGTGTAATCAATTACAAAAACCCTGTCACTCTTTCATTCACACATAGTAGATACTTTAACTTATCAATCACAGTAGAACTGAAAAACAATATGATACTTTCAACTGGCAGAAGGCAAGGGAAAACCACATTTATAATTTTCCATAACAAATCGTGCTAAAATATTGTTGCAGCAAAAACATTAGTAATATACATGTTTTCAAGGAGACGAAGACTCAAACACAACCTAGCACAAACATCAAAAAAAGATATTAACTTATTTTGTCTAGATTATGAGAAGATAAAACTAGAGCAAACTCAACAACTAGTGGTCAACTAGTGGTCAACTGGTGGTCAACTAGTGGTCATATTAAGGAGAATAGACCTCTTCTTCTCTGTGTTTACTGGCTGTAAACTGGTGGAAGGTTCTGGTTGTTCATAAATTTCTGGACTTTAGTCTTATTTTCAGAACTTGAGTTTTGCGTGCACCAGGCAGATGCACCAGAACTTCCAAGAAAAAAACCTTTAATTATTTGCCTTTTACTACAATGCTTATTAGGGGTTAAAAAAAAAAAAGTTAAAAGTAAAGGTTCCTTTTCCACACATTTAGGCATATAGGGATAGACCTATATTTTTATAGACCAATCGGCACAAGATGGGTGATGTGGTCAGCATCAAACCAGCCACCTTTACTTCCCAGGACTGCACCCGGTACCCACTCAAGGCTGGGTTGACCTGGGAGTTAAGGTCATTTAAAAAAAAAAAAAGTCTGGCTCCGCTAGAGAGTTAACCCACGACCTTCCGATCCGCACGCGAGTGTCCAGACGCTACGCCACGGCAACTCCAGTTTAATAGGGGACAGTGGGTCTGTTCTTATTTTTCCCCGAAAAAGAGACCTTGGAAACCAAATGAGGCTGAGTTACTCCAAGATATTCATCACATTTATCTTAGAATCCATATCTGTGCTGCCTCCACACTCTTTCTAATTTCTGTTCACATTCCAGGATTTACTGCCATACAGCAAAACAGTTTCAGGAACATAACATCTCAACTATCTCTTTCATACAATATCCCTGTTTAAAACCTTTCTTTACCCTAATCTAAGTTAGATTATTCTAACCTGTTACAAAATGAAGTTATCTTTAGCTGTAAAAAAAATTGTCTAACCTGTTACAATTTGATATGTGTGAGTGAGTGAGTGTGTGTGTGTGTGTGTGCACACGTGAGAGAGAGAGAGAGTAAAGTAAATATGAAAAAAATCCTACTAATAGTTAAGAATATATTTCAGTTGTAAAATTTATCATAAAATTAACTTTGGTATACACAGCCACATTTATAATGGAACATTTAATAACACGAAAATGTAATCAGTATAAAATAAAAATCTAGAACAGTTATATTAAATGTAACAAACACTACATATTTAATTAATATTGATCAAGCATTGAACAAAATACCCAATTAAGACCACAAGATAAAACAAAATGAGGAGTGATAGGTCTACACATACTAATTAAAACATACAGTTCTAACTTTAAAATGCAATCCATGATGGAATATTATCTATACAAGTGAAGAAAGATCAGGGGGCTGCCTGGTCTCGAGGCATGGTGTCTACCTAAATTGCTAGAGGTTCAATCCCCTAGAAGGGCTGGGATTTGTTCCTCCTGGTCACTGGGTAGTGAGATCGGATGCCCGTGTGCATTGTTGCACACATAAAAAATCCCTTGGTAGTTGGTAATCGAAAAAGAGTAGCCTTACGGCGCTGCCCGGGCAAAATTTGGAGTTACAAATTTACCTATAGTATTTCAGGTTCCTCGCTGGTGCTTGAGAGCCTGTGCACTGTGCTGAGCTTCTTCAGACTCAGACTTGAGTTAGAAGAAGAATGGAGCACTTATGGGTTACTACCCGTGTGCCATGATGTTGATCCGTTGTTCAAAAGCCTCAGTGAGGAAAGAACACTTATTACCTTCAAGAAGACAAGTAATGCAATACTAATTATCCCAGACAAGACAGACTATACAGTTTTGACTGCTTTTTCTATTTTCTGTTGTCCATATTCTGCTTTGTGCAGCTAGGCATCGCAGATTAACAGATGATCGGTTTTCGAGCCAAGGCATGCTCGGCTGCCCAGTATACTGTGCTGTTCTGGAGTCTCGAGGTATCAATGGCTCCTTCAATCCATCTTCTCCATGAATTTAATTATAGTTGTTGTTCCAATAGTTCTAGTTTTGTTCATGGCTTTTCTGAAACATCTTATTTCAAAGGTGGTTAGTTTTCTTTCATGTTCTTTGGTCAGTGGTCATGTCTGAAAATGATAGCTAACTAAACCAGATTCAAAAGACTAAAATAACTACTGCCCTGGACATCAGGGAGTCACTATGGCGTTGGCGGTTAGATGCCCACCTGCGGATCGGAAGATCGTGTGTTCGCATCCGAACGGAGCCAGAATTTTTTTCAAAAATGACCTTGACCCCCAGATCGACCCAGCCTTGAGTGAGTACCAGGTACAATCCTGGGAAGTAAACGTGGCCAGCGTGATGCTGACCACATCACCCACCCTGTGCTGATTGGGCTATAAAAATATGGGTCTAGCCGTATATTACCAATATGCCTAAAGGCGTGGAAAAGGGTCCTTTTACCTTAGACATCACAGACTATACAATAATAAGTAACCTAGACAAAACATTATACACTACTACCCCAAGCAAGACAGACTATACAATAATAAGTAACCTAGACAAAACAGATTATACATTACTATCCCAAGCAAGACAGACTATACAATAATAAGTAACCTAGACAAAACAGATTATACATTACTATCCAAAGCAAGACAGACTTTACAATAATAAGTAACCTAGACAAAACAGATTATACATTACTATCCCAAGCAAGACAGACTATACAGTAATAAGTAACCTAGACAAAACAGATTATACATTACTAACCCAAGCAAGACAGACTATACAATAATAAGTAACCTAGACAAAACAGATTATACATTACTACCCCAAGCAAGACAGACTATACAATAATAAGTAACCTAGACAAAACAGATTATACATTACTATCCCAAGCAAGACAGACTATACAAT